CTCTACTGTGAAGACCGGAATCCGCGAAATCTTGTTTTTTTTTTTTTTAATTTTCCGCAGTTCAATGTGCACCCACTTGGGCTACATACATACATATGTACATTTACAATTAGGCTGTTCCTGTACTACAGGATTTATTCAGAAATGGTCCGAAGTCCTTCCCGTACACACATTTATAATATCGAGAACACGCTATGTATGTAAATAAATTCGTTCTGTGATAGCTGTGACAGTCTTCTAAATGTTTTAAGAGTTTTAAATGCAATTATATTTCCTTTTCCACACACTGAACGACATTAAACTTTATGTTGTACCTAAATATTTAGTATTCAAGTTACACAAATTTAAAACACATTCCTGTAGTTGTTTTAAGTGTAAGGTATTTTTTTTTGTAATCCTTTTCACTGCATTTCTACAAAATGAACTATTCTTCAAATTGGGTCTAAAGTGAAGCTTCGCAGTCATCCAAGGTAAATATATCGCTAGCTTAAAGTGATTAGTTGTTAAGTCGTCTTATAAAAATTTTACAGGATGAAAAAAACTTCTTTGAGCCATTTTCTTCAATTATTTCGCAAAACTTTGCAACGCAACATTTTGCGTGTTTAATTCGATCATTATTTATATTTCTTTTTTGTTTTTGGACTTAGCAAATTTGCCTTTCGTTAAATATAAACGAAAAAAATATATAAAAGAAGTACCTTTATCTCTTTCGAAACGAAGTATTTTTAATTTTCTCTTGCTCAAAATATGAGTTTTCAAAAAAGTGGACCTAGCAACTTTTCACTCTTAACTAGCGAAATGTATGTATGTACATATAAGAAACTCGGTTCTTAGAGGAAATCGAAGTGGACATTCTAGTGAAGTGTATGGATGTGTATACATGCATACATGCATCAGTATGTATTTGCATGCATACATACATATGCATGTACGTATGAAAGTGAGAAAATTAAAATACCCATTATTTTGTGCCTGAATAATGACCGTAATAAGATTTTCAATTAAAA